AAGTTACATAACTGGTTAGTCTTACTATTTATTTCAGGGGCATTCAGGCAGTTGGAAAAGGAGAAAAAATTTGTATTGTAAATGGCCGGATTGAGGACCTTTTTCTTGTGTTATCTGTTGAATTGCTGTTATTGTTTTTTGTGGAGATAAGGTCACATTGTTATGATAGCAACTGCGTTTTCCAGTCAAATAAACTGGTTTTTGTACAATGGACATGGACCTAGGATGCACTATATTGCTTCCGTCGGCACATCGACGTTCTCCCGCACAAGCGAAGGCGAGCTGAAAAATATTTACTGCGACTTTCGTTGTTTTCAATGAACCTTAGTCATATAAGTTTTACGTTTTTTTGCAAATGTTATTTTATGCCTAATAACTTTGAATTTGTCTGACAATGTATTAAAAGTTTTGCGACTTACTGCAACATATCGCGTTATAGAGTCCCCAGAAACCTGAGAAAAGACTAATTTAGTTACTATTTAAATGAATGGTTTACTGATATTTGTTGATTTGAACAATTATTTGATATTCCATATTAAGTATGTTACCGATCACTGAGAATATTTATTATTTCTGTCATTTATTCAGTTAGAGAACCGAAGTTTTTAGCTTTGGAAATAAATCTAACGAAATTATCGAATTCGCTTTCACGGTTTAACGTGATAACGTGAAATATTTTCGCATTTTACGTAACTGATAGTTCGATTTTTTTAAATTTCGAATTGTCCAGAGTTTATGCTTCAGTCCGTACTTTTTGATTATCAGATTAGCTGTTAGTAGATCCTTAACGTGAATGATTTTCCGGAACGAAACATCTACATTTCGTTGAAAATCGACTTGGTACTGGTTTATATTATCTGATTAATAATTTTGTTGCATTATTAGCGATAAGTACTGATAAGTATTAAAGTAATAATTGTTTTTAAGTTCTTTTGTATTATTAGTGATAAATATTGCTGTACTTTATTTTAATTACTGGCGGTAATTGATATACGATGTTCGTTTCGTTCCGTTTTCCGAAAACTGTTATAGTTTTCTATGCTTAGGTGTGGTATTTTAGCTGACATTGGCGATCGGGCCGATGTCTGTGTTGCAGAGGTGTTCGACACTGAGCTTATTGGCGAGGGAGCGCTGCGAACTTTTTCATTAGCGCACAAGCGTCTCCTCAAAGTAAGTAACAGAAAGTTGGTCTGATGTAATTAGAGTGTTAATTACTTGAGCCTGTTTAGGAACGCTGCGCTGTCGTCCCATGCAAGGCCTCAGTATTCGTGCAAATAATCCATTCCGATTTCTTGATGAAGCTGGCCAAACCATCCTCATTCAGTCTCATAA